AAAAATCCCCTAATAGTAAGATAATAGGAGAAAATAAAAAATTAATTAAAACAGAAAATTATACTTAATCACTTATATCGAGCTCATGGCTACTGTAATTTAAAAAGTTTGACTTTTCAAATTGCATCGCAATGTTCAATTTTATCACACCTTCCAATTACGATACTGCTTTAGATAATGACGCTAAAAATATCAAGAGTTCATAAATCTCAATAAAAATTAATGTCAGGCATGCTTTATTTCTTCTGAATTTATATTAGTACTAGAACACATGATATATTCTGGTATGGAATCTACTATTCAGATGTATATTTCATACTTTTGAGAGCTACATTATTTCTGACCTCAAATTTATATAATAAAGACTACCAACCTTTAGTTTAATCAGCACAATAAATGATATCCTATAGTTTTATTTCATGTTCTCACGGAACATATATATCACAAACAATATCAAAATCTAAATAAAGCTTTGGCATAAAATTTATGGCATCTATTGAGTCATAGGTTTTCTGAGCAAGACCAATATAATATGGATTTAGAAAGGAAATTGAAAAATCACATGCAATAAAACCCAACAGGAACCTCATTAGGCATGGACATGTAAAAATGAAAAAAAAAATGTGATTCTGGCTAAGATTCTATGGACAGGAACCAAATATAAAAGGTTATTTCAAGTAATATGGTAAGCATGTAAGAAAAGTATGCGGGGAATACACAAGAAGGGCATTATGCTCAGTCTAAAGGTTTAAAGAAAGATTCTTAGAAGACAGATTACAGAATCACAAAAAAGTACTAGCTAATTTATAAGACTAGGGGACAAGAATACTAGTATTCCAAACAAGAGCAACAGTCAAGACTCAAGGGACAGTAAGAAAATACATGGTGTTCATTTATATAAGGACAAAGTAATTTCCAAGGAGTTTTTCGAGATAAGGATAGGGGTAGGAAGGAGTGAAGAGCCATATATAACACTAAAGGCCCGGTGCACTCAGGGGGGTCCCTAAGCCCAGCCTGTGCCCTCTCACAGTCCAGGAACCCTCAGGGATGTCTGACTGATGGCTTAGGCCCGCTCCCCACTGGCAGTCGGACATCCTCAGTGCTGCCGTGGAGACGGGAGAGGCTCCCGCCACTGCTGCTGCGCTCGCCTGGCTTCTAGCTGAGTGGTGATCCCCCTGTGGAAGTGCACTGGCCACCAGGGGGCAGCTCTTGCACTGACTGTCTGCCCCCTGGTGGCCAGTGCACATCATAGCAACTGGTTGTTCTGCTGTTTGGTCAATTTGCATAGTAGGGTTTTATTATATAATATGAGATTGTTTTTAGCAACAGAGAAACAATTTTCTCATGTTTAAAGTGGTTTTGAATTGAATAGTGTACATAAAATAGAATAAGAATGACCTTATGAGTATATATTTAGATTTCCTTAAAGGTATTTTTTAAAGTCTTAATTATAAAGTACTAGAGGCCCAGTGCATGAATTTGTACACCAGTGGGGTCCCTTGGCCTGGCCTGCCTGCAGGATCAGGCCGAAACCTGCTCTCCGACATCCCCCAAGGGGTCCTGGATTGCCAGAGGGCACAGGCCAGGCTGAGGACCCCACCAGTGCATGAATCCGTGCACTGGGCCTTTAG